ATCCGATTACTAATCTTCACTTCAGAGGTGCAAGGGTCTGGCTTGCTGTCATGGAGGATCTATTGAGCAAAGGAACGAGAAATGCTGAAAATGTAATGATGAACATTGTTTATTTTCCTTTTTCTTCCTTTATTTGTTTCGGAGCTAATGGTTTTCTTTCAAAGGAATTACCTTTGTGCAGGCTGTTATGTCGGGATGTTCGGCGGGCGGTTTGGCGTCGGTTTTTCATTGCGATAGCTTCCGAGCCCTCCTACCTATGGGTACTAAAGTAAAATGTATTTCAGATGATGGTTATTTTATCAATGCGTAAGCTCATCAATAGGACCTTCTGCCTAGATCTTATGTTGAAGCATATACATGGTAGTTTACACATGTCGTGTACGCAATATTTACTAATTGTGCTTTTGCAGGAAAGATGTTTCCGGAGGACATCACATTCAAACCTTCTTTGATCACTTAGTTGCAACACATGTACTCATTCTTTCTTTCTCCTCGTATGAAGGCCTAATGTATGTATGGATGGATGGATGCAATGTTTAAATATGATCATATTTACTTTATTTCTGAAGGGATCAGCAAAGAATTTGCCTCCATTGTACTTCGAGAATGAAACCTGGTCTAGTGAGTGCTTCTGTTTTGTTGCTGGTTTCACTCTTCAGTTCATCGTTTCGATTTTCGATATTCTTACCGATACTAATCCGATTTTGCAGTGTTTTTTCCCACAATTCATGGCACAACAGATACGAACACTGCTTTTTTACATCAATGCATCATATGATTAGTGGCAGGTTTGCTCATTTCCATTTTTTTTACTAGTTAAAAATGATTGAGCAATTCAATACCGAAACTGTATGTAGCAAATGCAACTTTGCTGCAAAACCACAAAACTTAGCTTAATTTGCCAATAGTGATAGCATAAAGCTGAAGCCAAATCCTTTGCCTAATCTTTTCAGGCTGTCATTCTTTGTCCATCCAGTTTGAGCTTTAATTTTCTCTATATCTTTTATTTTTCAATTCAGATACGAAATATTTTGGTACCCGGCATTGCCGATCCCCATGGCTACTGGGAAAGCTGCAAGCTCAATATAAAGAACTGCTTGCCCAGACAGATAAAAGTAATGCAAGGTGACTCTTTAGGAAGCAGCCTCCATTTGCTGATGCGTTTAGTTTGTTAGTTAGTGTACAACAGAGTAGACTCTGAAGCTTATGTTGAACAACCTCGAACGTAAACGCTTAATCGGTTTTGCAGGATTCAGGTCGCAATTCTTAGTCGCGCTGCTCCGACTCGGCAAGTCTGCATCAAGAGGAATGTTCATAGACTCGTGCTTCACGATTTGGCAAACCGAGATGCAAGAATTATGGTTCATGCAGGACTCCCCATTGTTGAACAAAACTGTAAGCCAACAATGGCTGCCTTTACATACATGTTGCTTGAATATGCTATATAAACGTGAATTTGAAGCTTAATCGTATGTGCAGAGAATTGGAAAGGCAGTTGGAGACTGGTTTTATGATCGTAATCCCTTCCAAAAGATAGACTGCCCTTATCCTTGCAACCCAACCTGCCACAACCGTGTTTATGATGATGATCCACATGCACCCCATTCATAATATACATATATCATATACAATATCATAGTATAGAACGTCTCAGCATGAAGTCCATACCCATTCATACATACATACATACATATATGCATACGTAGTTGTAGTAAATACATGTATTTTTTGCTTTATATGATTAATATTCATATCACTAAATGAAATTAGCATCGGTAAAGTCCTATTAATAAGCAAAGACCACCGCTGCACTAAACTTGTGTGCTGAGTTGGTTCCATTTGTGTATTGATATTATCATCATCATCACCATTCTTAATAAATCAGGGTTCTTTTTTATAATTTTTGTTTCTTGTATATTATCATTTATTATATATTCTCAGGTTAAAAATAAATCATCACAATTTAAAAGTAAAAGGATATTTAAATTAAAATATACCGTTTTTAAATTTAATTTTTTAATCTTATTTTTAGGGTAAAGTACAAAAATGGTCTCTGACTATAGGGTATTGCTTTATTAGTTCCCTCGACTATTAAAAGTTACAAAATGGTCATCCGATTATTCATTATGTTGCAAACTCATCATTTTCCGTTAAAAATAAACGATATTTTAAGCTGAACATTAACTTGTTAACTGTGATATGATAAAATTTGATCTTAGAATTTCAAACGATCATCATATCACAATCATAGTGTTAACGTCCAAACTTATACAACTACTAAATTTTTAATGGAAAAGGACCAAATTTGGAACATAATGAATAGTCAAGTGATCATTTTGTAACTTTTAATAGTTGAAGGATTTAACAAAACAACATTCTATAATCGGAGGATCATTTTATAACTTTTAATAGTCGATGAATTTAATAAAATAATATCCTATTGCCGGGGACTATTCTGTATTTTACCCTAAAAGTAAAGTTTTAGACGAAAATACTAGTTGCTAAAGAGAGTGGGGGGGGGGGGTCCAAAAACTGAGTGTAGGTGCATGAATATAATGGTTTTACTTTTTGAAATGTTCAATCAAATGGGTGAGAGCCCACAGGCACATGCAATCACAAACAACTGACTAAGAAAGATTAGACGCATTGGAATTATTTCATTTTCACATTTGATAGAGATGAATAATTATTTCTAGTTGGTTTAAATTATAAGTTACTTGATTTAGTTTAAATAAGTTTTGAATTTGAGTTTTTGTGAATGTTAAAAATTTTTGTCGGGAGATTCATCTACTAAAATTAAATATACGATCTGAATCGATCCAAATTAATTAAGATTAAATCTTAAGAACCATAAGGGTAACTAAAAATATTATTTCTAGAATATAATATAATAAAAATAGAAAGGAACAACATGCTTTACTTCCAGGGGAAAAATGGAAGCCTATATGCTTTACTTTGCCTGCGAAAGAGAGACGAATCAATGGAAAAGTAAAAGTATTTATTAAAATAAACACTTTGATTTTCATTTTTGTTTTTAAGCCAATTTGATCTGCTTTATTTTAGGATAACAATTTTTAGGGTGAAGTATATAAATAGTATCCTGGATAATATTTTATTGAGTCTATTGATTATTAAAAGTTATAAAATGGTCTTCGACTATAAAAATTTATTTTTGTTAAGCCCCTCGACCGGTTATAAAATGGTCACTTAACTATTACTTATGTTTCAAACTCGTCCTTTTAGTTAAAATTTTGATGACATTCTGGGTTGTATGTTAACATACTGAATGAAATATGATAAAATTTGATCTCATAATCTCAAATGACTATCATATCTCAGTCAACATGTTAATATAAAACTTAGACGACCGTTAATTTTTAACAGAAAATGACTAGTTTGGAATATAATGAATAGTCGAGTGGTTATTTTGTAACTTTTAATAGTTGAGGGACTCAACAGAGCAACTTCCTATAGTCGAGGGATTATTTTATAATTTTTAATAGTTAAGAGACTCAATAAAGTATTATCCTATAGTCTATGGATCATTTGGATTCTTGACCCTAAAATGTTTGATTGAATCATTATTTTATTCTTATTAAAATAAACATTTTGGTTTTTTTCTTACTTTAAAAGTATTTTGATTTGTTTTATTTTAGGATAAAAATTCTAAATGTTTATTTTAAAGTAAAAAAATTCTTATTTTAAAATATTAAATGTTAATCATTTTCATTCAGATTTTTCACCGCTAAATAAACCATTAAAATCAAAATATTGCAAATGAAGGAGTTAAAATAATTATTTTAGTAAACATTAGAGGTTAATTTTGACTTTATACCGAGTTAAAAGAAATTGACTTGAGTCAGCCAGGCACAGCCAATTACCGTTCCTGCCCTCCTGCTTGTTTCTTTTGTTTTACAAGAGTTATTCTTCGTTGTCTTGTATGTACGAGTGATGTATATTTCGTATATCTTACGAGCGAATCAATTAATTTTAAAATAAATAAAACTTTATCTGTCGTAATTGAGTGTCTTTTCGCCATGCAAGCATACAAATGATAGTTGTATCCATCAATCACCGATGATGACTATTATTAATATATATATATTTAATAAAACCATCTATAACTAACAAATGACGGATCCAAAAATTTATAAATGGGATCCAAAATTTAATCGAGTTCAACTCTTTGTATATATAGAAAATCAATACCGAAATATTCACAGCAAAAAAAATACTTACAAAACCTTAAAACTAAGACAATGAAACAAAAAATAACAAATAAAAAATAAAAGGATAAACTACGCCAATGGTCATTAATGTTAGGGCAAGTATTCGATTTTACCATTGATGTTTAAAAAGTCACAAATCGATCATTGATGTTATTGTTTTTTATAAAATGACCACTCAACGTTAACATCCGTTAATAGACATAACGGAAAATACAACTGAACCGTTATTTGTTGAGTTGGATTGTGGACCATTTTGATCGAAGAGCTTTAATGATGAAGGAATGGGACAAAATCCATTGGAGTGGTGAGGAGAAGAAAAGTGAAGAGAAAGAAAGAAGAAAAAATGAAAAAGAAGAATATGGGGAATGAGTTGAAGAAAAAGAAGAGTCGGTCAAAATGGTCCAATTATGGCGGTCAACAGTTCAACTCAGCAGATAATGGTTCGGTTGTGTTTTTCGTAACGCCTATTAACAGTTGTTAACGTCGAATGACCATTTTATAATAAAAGATAATGTTAGTGACTAATTTGTAATTTTGTAAATATTATTGGTAAAAGTAAATAATTACCCTAATATTAGTGACCTTAACGTTGTTTACCCAAAATAAAAATACCCCTTGGTTTTAAGTACGAAAAAAAAAAGTAAATAACAAGGAGCGCACCGACAACTAAACTACGGAAATAACAACCACTATTACGTGCTTAGTTGGCACGCGTTACCGGATGAGGCCTATAAATGAAATAAGTGGTGGCTAAGGCTTAGCCAAAAGAAGCAGCAGCGTACTCGTAATACGAAGAAACTTGTAGTAAGCTACTGGTCACCATTTATAGCTCCTCCCTTCACCTGCCCAATCCCGCTCCTTCCTCAACGTTTCAGCTCTCAAAGGTAAGCTTTTATCTCAAGCACCAAACATACAAACAAAACTACTCATTGTAGATACGTTGAGCACAACTTGGTGATGTGAGCTCGTATCCATCCTAAAATTTTATTAATACTCATTTTATTTAAAAAATTTATGTTATTAATATATATGTCATTTTAAAAAATATTTTTAGATTCGTCATTATTGTGGTCTGCTTAGATTGCTATATTTTTGCTGTTATTATTATACTAGCTTTCCCTTTGTGGACCGAAGTGCGGCAGCTTTTGGTTTTACAGCTTTATGCAACTTTTTTTGGTTTTGATCTCGTTGTTTCGGATCTTACTGCTCCGGCGATTTATGAGCGGTTGCTCTCCTCCCAGCGTGCCGGAAAATTAGAAAATCCGATGGGTTTTAATGTGGAGAGAGAAGTACCATGGTTTACGATCTCGATGATGGGACACATTATTCTATCTTTCTTGTCATGTGTGACCTTTGTCGGATGCTTTTTTTTTTGGGTTCATGAGCTTTGTCGGATTATCATACAATAAAATAATGATCTTTTAATTTTATTTAATGAGATTTAGATCGCAGGGGTAATTCGTCAGTCAATAAAAACGATAAATTTAAGGTTAAAAACGATAAATTTAAGGTTAAAGAATAATAGAATCAATTTAAGATTAAAGATTGATAAAAAATAGACCTATTGAAAATATTATAAAATTTTTGATATTTTAAGTTGGACTAATTTAACATGTTAATATTTTTTAACATTTTCAGTTAAACAAAAAATGTTACACATAAAATAATATTTTCAATTGTTAATAGAAAATTTTATAAAAAAAATTAACTAAAAAATAGTAAGAAAAAGAACACTAACTTAAAATATTATGATTTTTATAATATTTTCAGTCACATTTTTTCCCCTTCCAATCCTAGATTAGACTGCATCTGCATTTCCTTACACTCTCCCAGATCTCAGCCGACTCTCCACTAGATTATCTTATGGGCCGGCCAGTCCTGCTTTTACCCATGTCATTGCTTTCCGTATACACACACACACCATGTATTATATTTGGTAATATTTAGCTTAGATTCTGTTTAAGTTTTATATTTTGTAGACTATTTGATAAAGTAACTTATTAATGAAGAAATAAAAAAACCCTAGATTTGGTAAAGCTTATCATGTAGGAGAATAAGTAGGTTTGGTAAAAGAAAATATGGAAGGTCTGAGAGGACGGCTAGATTTTTTTTATATTTTCTGTTGTTAATTTCATTTTGTTCTACAAAATTTTATAAGTCATTTTTTTCTAAAATTTTAAAAATTATATTTTGACATAAAATTATGTATCTGTTCATGGTAAAAAGAAGTAGACGACATTTGTCTGTTGTTTTGGCTCACATATCAACATCAACATGTTTCATCTCGCATGCATGGCCTTCATAATGACTTATATTATGGTGTTATAGTATTTTATTTAGCAGGATGAATGTTTTTGCTTATGTATATGATGTAATCACACTGACTTTAAGCTAATAAATGCCAGCAGAGCAGAATGATTAGTGCAAGATCACGCCAATGGTTAAGTCTTGTGGCCATTGTGCTTACAATCATATCACTGAAAGCCGATGGCGCTAGCGTAGGCATCACGTTTCTGCAGGATGCAGTAGCAAAAGGAGCTGGTAGGGAATTGCCTCTCTTCTTCTATGTAGTTTATATGTTTATGTGTATATTCTATTTAACGTTACGTTTTGTTTCTTCGGTTCGGGTGGTGTTGTGCAGTGTGTTTGGATGGGAGCCCTCCGGCTTACCATTTTGACAAGGGCTCTGGCACCGGGGTTAATAATTGGATCGTTCACATCGAGGTTAGTTCTCTTCTCGACTCACACCGATTGGCCATTGGCTGTTGTGGTGTGTACTTTACTTATGGAAGAAGGCTTTGGCTTTTGACTACTGAGTTTGTTAGCTTTATTAGAATGACAACCGATAACACTATGACCTAACAGGGTGGAGGATGGTGTGAAGATGTGGCAACTTGCCTTTCTCGAAAGAAAACCGACTTAGGGTCATCGAAGCTAATGGTGAAGCAATTCGGTTTCTCTGGGCTTTTGAGCAGCCAGCAAAAATCCAATCCAGGTAGGTTGGATCCAACAATTTTGCGCCGCCTCGGATTTAGCTTCACTGTTATCCTAACACATTCATTATGCAGATTTCTACAATTGGAATCGAATTAAGGTTAGGTACTGCGATGGATCATCATTCACGGGCGATGCGGTCGATCCAGTAAGTTACATAAGTTAATCATACAATTTGAGAGATTAAACAAATACACATGTTAATGCATAACGGTTCTGTGATCAGGCTAATAATCTCTTCTTCAGAGGACGTAGAATTTTCGACGCTATCATTGCTGATCTATCAGCCAAAGGAATGAAAAACGCTAAAAATGTAAGACCTACCTTAGCTTGTGTGATCATTTTGTAATTCCTTTAGTAACCCTTTTCTTCTTACATTCTCATAATCTTTCGAATCTGTTCGTATATATGTATATATAAAAAAAGGCTATTCTTTCGGGCTGTTCTGCTGGTGGATTGGCAGCGATATTGAACTGCGACAGATTCCGAGCTCTCCTTCCTGCTACAACTAAAGTGAAATGCATTTCAGATGCTGGCTTTTTCATCCATGCGTGAGTTCAGAGACCCTAACCTATGTATTATATGTATACATAAATCTAGCATTAAAGAAATCCTTATTTGTTTCTGCAGGAAGGACGTTTCAGGAGGGCAGCACATAGAAACTTTCTATAGCAAAGTGGCTAAATTACATGTATAATTGTTCCCTTAATATATCCATTGATTTGTTTTTTCTCGAATGAGACCGAGGCCTTAAAGATGTAATGTCTTGTGCAGGGCTCCGTTAAGAATTTGCCAGCGTCTTGCACTTCGAGAATGGGAATGAGACCGGAGTTGGTATGACAACGTTGTCCGTAATTCGTTAATTTATCACTTTGTTCTAAGTTGTAACCATTTTCCTCTGCAAAAACTGCAGTGTTTCTTCCCGCAGTACGTGGTGCAGACCATGCAAACGCCAATTTTCTTCATAAATTCGGCTTATGACTCCTGGCAGGTCCGTTCTTGAGCCGAATCGGATCCAGTATCGCTCTGCGTTTGCTTTTATGCACTTGCGATTACGAATCATTATGATCCATTGTTAACATACTCAATATTTTCATCTTTCATCAGATTAAGAACATTCTGGCTCCCACTGCTGCTGATAAAGGTAAGGCGTGGAAAAACTGCAAGCTTGATTTGAAGAAGTGTACTCCTGCGCAGCTCAATGTCATCCAAGGTGACGACGCTTCTTCGACAAACGCGCATGCACACGTACACGCATGCGTGCATACATATATATATATATATATATATATATATACATAATTAATCTCCTCTGTGTTAATTTAAATCTTTGATACAGATTTCAGGACGTCGTTCTTACTTGCAATCAATAGAGCCGGTGTCCTCAATTCTCCGTCTAAAGGAATGTTCATAGATTCCTGCTACGCTCACTGTCAAATAGGGAAGCAGATAACATGGTCTAGCGACAGTTCTCCCGTCGTCGGTAGCACGGTAAGATACTCGATATTCTTCTCGTATAATTCTTAGCCGGTCGGTCGGCAACCATCGTCATTAACTCGTGGCATCGCATGCAGAAAATCGCCAAGGCGGTTGGAGACTGGTATTACGAGCGGAGCCCCGTCAGGAAGCTCGATTGCCCATACCCTTGCAACCCTACGTGCCCAAAAGTCGATACTGAATCGGCGCTCGATGGATAATATTTTATTAGCTAGCGTGAGTCATTTCTAATTTGATTCATGGATAATCTATCCCTTGCTCATTTTTCTTTTGACGTCTAATTTAAGCGTCTTATATTAATAAGACTAAATAAAGTGTATGAACTTGGAAACAATTAAAGTTGCTTGAGCTCCATGTATCATTATTTCTAGTAGATTCTAGGAGTATTTTTTATGGGTAAAGTATTGTTTTGGTATCGATCTATTGATCGATTAATTCAAATTAAGTATTTAGAAGTAAGGACCTCTAATCCAATTTATTCTATTCGTAATTATTAAAATTTGAAACTAACATTTTTTTTAAGGGATCTAACGTCTTCTCTCTTTAGACAATTTATATTTGGTGGTAAAATATTGATGTTTACGTTAACTCTTTATTATTTTTAGTCACTTCTGGTTTGTAATTATTTTTGCTATTGTTACTAATTATTCTTGTTTGTATTTTAAATTTGTTAATTTAATAACATGTTATTAAAATTTATATATTATATACTTGCTATCATTTATAATTTATATTTTAAAAATTAAAATATTATTTATAATGTAAAGATACTATAAATAATATTAATATAAAATACTCTTATATAATAAATAATATTAATATATAAAACAATATTTTTATGTAATTTATAATAATTTTGTTTTTCAAAAATAACCTTGAAATTTATTTAAAAAAAGGTCTCTTAAATTCTCAAATTAGACCCCTACAACTTATTACTTCACTCTTTTATTAAAATCAATAAATGGCATGTAAATCGGTCATCAAACGTCAGACTGCTTCAATCAAACCATGAGCAACGGTTGATCGATAAACAAACAATGAGCAACGATCGATCAATTAACAAATAATGAATGATGTACGTGATAATAAGAGAATGACATGTCAGTAGTACAAATTTATATTGATGATATTATATTTGGTGATATTAATGATATTATTTGTCAAGAATTTTCTAAGTTAATGCAAGGTGAATTTAAGACGAATATGATAGGGAGCTCTTATTTTTCTTGAGACTCCAAATCAAGCAAATGAAGGATGACATCTTTAACAATCAAACTAAATACACAAGGGATATGTTCAAGAAGTTTGGCTTGGAGAATGTCAAACCTCAAGCCACTCCCATGAGCACTTCAACGAAGCTTGACAAAGAAGAGGAAGATAAATGTGTAGATTTTAAATTATATAGGTTAATGATTGGTTATTTGCTTTATCTTGTCGCAAGTAGACAAGATATTATGTTTAGTATTTGTTTGTGTGCTAAATTTCAATCTTGTCATAAGGAATCTCATTTACATGCCATTAAGAGAATCTTTAGATACTTTAGAGACACTACTAGTTTATGATTTCTCAAATGCGGATTTTAGAGGTTGTAAATTAGATAGAAAAAGCACATACAGTACATGTTAATTCCTAGAAAATATGCTAATTTCACGGTTTTCTTAGAAACAAAACAGTGTTGCATTATCAATCACCAAGGCGGAATACATTTTGGGCGGTAGTTATTGTACACAAATTTTATGGATGAAACAACAACTATTAGACTATGAAATTGATGTTGGTACCATTCCAATTAAGTGTGACAATACTAGTGCAATTTGTCACACTAAGAATCTCATCCAACACTCTAGAACTAAACACATTGAAATTAAGCAACATTTCATTACAAATCATGTCCTTAATGAAGATGTAGTTCTAGAATATGTTGATAATTTGCATCAAATAGTTGCTATTTTTACCAAGCCTTTAGATAAAGAAAGATTTTGGACACTTAATAGAGAGTTAGGATTTTCTAGGATTCCCTAAGCTATAGTCCAAACATTTACATTTTTATGCTTTTAAATAAATTTATGGCTTAATTTTTTTACTTGCTTGAGTGGTTCTATATGATTATCCAATGCAAAATTTGAGGGGAGATATGCATATCATTTTATGACCTTAAGAAAAATTGTCTCAAAATTGAATATGTATGCCTAAATGAATTCATCATGAAAATATACTTATAATTTTTTTACCATGTCATACTTCTTTAATCACATTTTAGTATGATTTTTAAAGTCCTTATAATAATCATGAATGATAGATTCTTATTCTGGATAGAATTCTTGCTCAAAATTAGTTTATTTTTTCTTTCAAGAGCAGAGGTTTCGAAACCCCCTCCTTGAGGTTTTAAAACCAATAGGACATAATGCTTTTTGGGTTAAAGGTTTCAAAACCCCTTTCTTGTGATTTTGAAACCCCTTGGGCAGAATGTCTTCACGAGCTAAAGGTTTCGAAACACCCTATAAAAAGTTTCTAAAGCCCCTGTTTAATTTCAAGAGTTTCGTGCTTTTAAATCCTAAAAATTCCAATTCCTTATTTTTTTGTTGATCGTTTGAAACTCTAAACCCTTCTTTTTGTGTCTTATTTCACATGCACAAATGTCTTGTATTACTGTGAAGATTTCATTTTTTAAATCTTTCAATAAGAAAATTGGTTTTATTATGTTCAATTTATTTGCAAAATTTAAGTTTAATAGTTTTTATTGGTCTATTGGTTGAATGAATATATATGTATTTTTTATGTAGGGTTTACCATTAATCTATTTTCATTAAAAACCCAAAATTCAACCTTGCCCACCCAAGTGTTCATAAAAAGTCCTAAACGAAATTTTCTATCAAAACACTTGTTTCTCTCTCTTCCAATAGCACCTAAACTTCATACTAAATGAGCTAGGACTAATCAACCTTCTAATCCTCAAACTTTTGAAAGTTATATTTACTTAATCTCGAAGTCTTTCCTGTTATCTCGAACATTTTATCACTCTTCCTATTCGTCCTGAACATAATTTTGATTTTTTAGTTCGAATGAATATGAATTGGTTTTTATCTTACCTTTCTTGATTGGAAGTGGGCTCATTTTCTCTCGGTTGAACAATCAATTCATCCTCAACTTTAGGAATGGTAGAACGACCCGAACCCGACGGGGAAACCCGAAACCCGGTAAAGTCCGGGTCGGGTATCGGGGTAAAATTTGGGGATTTTTTTAGGTTCGAGGCCAGGTATCCTCGTCTCGCCCTGCCCCGATTATATATATATATATATATATTATATATATTATATTTTTATATTAATTATATATAATACAAACAAAACATTTAACCTAGGTTTCGAGGTTATATGAGATTCGATTATATATAATATGTGTGCGCAAAGTTAGTTGTTGAATGCGATTCGAGGTAAGTCGGTAATACTATATTCTATATTAACTTATATGCCATTTTCTTTTTGAATAATATTTGTGTTAAAGGATAATTTAAGTTATTTTGTTTATAGAAACTTGTTCGGAAGAGACCAAGGCATATTGTCGCTCTGTTGAATATGATTATAACGTGGATGAGGTAAATAATGTTTATAAAACATTACTATTTGGTAACATGATTTTATAATTATTAAAGTAAAATTTGGTTGATTTATTGATAAATTTCTCAATGTAGGGAGCTACCAAAGAAAGTGACAAAAGTGGCACGATGATTTTGGATGACTTTATTTGACTTAATATTACGTATGCATCTTCGTTGTATGATTTGAATATTGGAACAAGTTTGTATTTAATTATGTATGTGTTTTATTTTGGAGTTTAGACAATTATTTAGAATTGGGTTTGAATTTGTGACTGTAGTTTGAATAATAAATCATGTAGACTAATTTTCCAGTTTTTTGTGATCATTTTTTCTATTTTTTTAATGAAAACTACGACTGCTCGGTTTTTCTCGGGATCGGGTCGGGTACAACATTTCGGGTCGGGTTCGAGGACCGGGCAAAAAAATCCCCGACGAGGCACCCCGATATAAAACCCGACGGGGAACGGGGACGGGGGAGCAAAACCTGTCCCGTTTCCATTCATACTCAACTTGTTCGAGCATTTTTCTTTAATGCTAAATTTCGGAAGGACATTCCTTCCGGTAAAATCTTTGTTATTACATCTTATCTTATGGGTGTCGAAATTGAACTTACTCCAAAATCCATAACTAGAGATTTAGGAATTCCTTTGGAGGGCCCTTTTAATGAAAATGACATTGTTCCCTTTGAAGATATTCATAATGATAATCTCACTTTTTTTCCTTTTGAGGAACGTCTTTTACAACTCTTTATCACTTGGTTCCTTTGCCCTTTAGGTGGTCGCACCACCCATATATGCCACTTGGACTACTGGTGGCATCATCACTTTCGTACCAAGGAATGTTTGAACCTAGCCAAAATTATCTTCCTTGTCTTAGTGAACACCATAACGAAAGGACCAAACTCTTCCGTCTCATTGCCTTACGCTTGCATCTTGAGTCACATTTTTCGCAGCCATTCCATCAATATCTCTTTTGATCCTTCCATTCCCCTTTCGAGCAAACTTGACTATACATTGGTTAAGAAAATGGGATTTAAATTTGAAAACAAAAATTGGGTCAAAGTTCGTGATAGCGCTCATCTAATTGATGATCCTATTGTTCATTACGATGATGCACCCGCCAGTGTTATTCCTCCTCGTCCTCTCGTCACCTTAGACTCTCTTTATAACTACATGGTCAATCGTTTTGATGAGGTTCTTCATCATGTCGATAGTCGCTTTGATGTCATGGGAGCTCACATTGATGCTTTGGAGGCTCATTTCTTTTTTCGTGTCCATCATTCTCTTCTCATCCGGATATTGAGGATTGATCATTTGCATATTTTATTGGACTTTTAGGATGTTTTTGATACTATTTGAATATTTTGTTGGATATTGATGCGTAATTTGTTAGATATCGATGCATAGTTCATTTGGATGCTTCAGCTATTTTTGGATTAATATATTGCTTTGATCATTTATTATTATTATTATTATTATTGGTTCTTTTGAGATGTCATTATGCTATAATCCTAGCTTCTCTCTTATAGCTAAGGGGGTGTTTGGTTCAAGGATTGTGGGATTCTCATGGGATGGGAATCCCACATTTCCATGTTTGGTTGGCCGGAAATCTCATTCCCAGTAATGTTTTATTACCAATAGTAGATTTTTTTGGGTATATTACCGAGAATGTCATTACCTCCCTTCCCTTAGGTATTGTAACATTACCAGCGTTTTGGACTAAAATGCCCTTAAATTATGATTTTTTTTTCAAAAATATCATTCTTCTGTCATTGAATAATAAAAATTCTACGAAGGTTAAATTACAAATTTATCCTTAAATTATTTTAGATTTACAAAAAAAATCTATAATTAAAATTTTATATGAAGTTCAGGGGTTAAAAAAATTTTATCCTTTCATTAAACCTTTTTTATATTTTTAATTTTGTAAAAAAAATTATATAAATATTATGAATTTAATTTTTTAAAGAAAATATATAAATATTTTAGAATTTGTAATATTATACAAATATATAATAAGGACAATTTGGTCAAATATACATTCCAATAATCTTTTATTCCTTTAACCAAACACGTTATTCTTATATTCCTGTTAAACCAACCAAACACAAAATACAACATTCCTAGTAATCCTATTCCCTGATAATCTTTTATTCCCACTGGTAATCTTACATTCCGTGAACCAAACGCACCCTAAATGATTTTGATCTAAAAAAGGAGAAAAAATTCTAGTCAAAATTTGTTTCATTAAAAATTTAATTTTTATATGCTTTTAATCATACACTCTTGAATTCTTTGTTAAAGGGGGAGAAAAATGAAAAATCTCACTTGGAAATAATTTTAACATCTTCCAAATTTATTTTTGACAAATTTTTACAAAATTGTTTTGTTATATCAAAAAGGGAAAGATTGATAAATGTCATTAAATGATTTTGATATAACAAAGGACTAAATTGAAAATTTTATCAAATTAATATCTTATTTGATTCAAAAATATTTAAGTGTGTAAAAATAATTTTTGAGAATTTAAATGTCAAAAGTAAATTTAAAAATATTTTTGAAATTTATAAAGCTTTAAAATGTTGTTTGAATATGAAACATGGTTAATTTTTGAGGTTTTTGAGACTAGTTTCAAAACCCCTTAGGCAGAAGTCAAAATTGACCTAAAGGTTTTTAAACTCCCTTGTAGGTTTTGAAACCCCCTATTTAACGGTCATAATTTTTAAATGAGGGTTTTGAAAACCCTCAGGTGTCTCGAAATCTTTGTGCAAGTTTGCATTCAATGCACAAAATCAATGCTTCAAACGACTTCAAACTCCCTCTAACAACCACAAACTGTTAGAAATCAATGAAGACATATAAAAGGGGCCTTTAAACAGCCAAGAAAAGATAAGAAAAGTATTCCAACAATCAAAGAGCAAGTAGAGCCAAATTTGTATTCCATTGTGTCTTTCTTGCAAAGAACACTATTCCATTCATTTTATTTTTCATTCTAGTATTTTTTAGGTGTGTGTGAGAGCTTCAATTTGCAAACATTCTATCTTTGTGAGGATATTCAAAGTTTGTTCATTTGTATTTACTTCTTAGGAAGGGTTGGACACTTAAGACTTTGGTGTATAAGTCTTAATGTTGTGTAAGGTTACACCTTGTCCTAAAAAGTTATAACAAATTAGTGAATTTGTTGAAATCCTTAGTTAGGAAGCTAAGGTAGTGAATGTAGACTTCATTATTGAATCACTCTAAAATTCTTGTGTACATTTCTTACTTCTTTCAAAAGCTTCCAACAAATTTTTAAATTTTCATTTCACCCCTCTCGGCCATTTCCCCTGATCGATTGACTCGACATATATTTTGTGTAGGAGCCAGTGATATTTATGTTATGCAAACAGGTGCAAATATGCAAATTCTAATGTTACTTTGTGTAGGTAGCATTTTTTGTTGTTGTTGCAAATATTGATTTTTCAGCCTTTGTCCAATTACGGTTGCTTATTTATAGGTGGCTGAAGTTTTGCTTCTTTACTTTTAGGTACCTTTATCCATTAAGAAAAAACTATCAAACAAGATACATATCAAACATGAAACATGGTGTACTAGAATAATGATTTTTTCACATATCGAACACAAAATACACAACCGACTATTTTTCTTAGTCTTAATACATCTAAAAATGTATGTTATCTAAAAATCTAATTTTATCATAAAATGCATTATCCATGAAGTAAAAAATGATATCTTATTGAATAACGAGTTGTTCCTCATGTTTATTGTCTTCACTTTATAAGCTCTAATTTTTTTCTTTTTGATCTTCCACCATTATCCTCAATCTTTGGACTAATCAAATTTGACGAGTTCCTTCAATTCGTCGTTTTCAACCTTGATTTTTCTATTCTCCGTCATCATCATTTCAAGTCGACTTCCTAAATCTTCAACTACATAACCAGTGTTATCATCTTTGTCAAGACACTAAAAAACTTACAACGATTCTAGGAAAAAATCAAGTCAAAAATAATGAAAAAATTCATTCCAATCAAAATATCAATTGAAAATTATTTTTGAAATAATTTAAAAATATGTTTAATAATTAATTGGAAACACCCGTTAAATCAAACAACCCTAAACTCCTAAAATTAAAAGATTTTTGAAATTATTGGCAACACTTATTAAAATCAAAACCCTAAACTCTAAAATTTAAAAGAATTTCAAAATTATTTAATCTTAAAATTTGAAAAATAAAAATTACCTCTTTCTCTTAAAAACACCCATAAAATCTTCTTCCTTTACTACAAGGTATACTGGAACTGCAAATGAGGCTTTCATTTTGAAATAACAATACACGCCCCTCGACATCTCTTAAGAGCTTCAGTTTAGTTGATTCACTTAATCCTAAACCCTAAATTAAAACAAAGAAAAATGAAGAAAGATAAAAAAAATAGACGGTAAGTTTTTTTAACCTAAATGAGAAATAAAAAATACTCAATGTTTTTTTTTTATTTTCCATCAATTTACATTTGAATTTAAAAGAAATTATTAGAAAAAAACTTAACATGTGTCGTGTTTTAATTAGATATCACCTATTTTAACGACAATTAGAGTTAGGCACTTATAACTATAACAGAATAAATTTTAGACTCATTTTTTAATAAAAAAAAATTCTTTACATATTAAAATATATTTAAGATAATTTATTAATCGTTTAAATTATATAATTTTTATAAGACCGATTCGACCTAATCTATGAAGAAATCCAAATACGACTGGGCTGATCGGGCCGGACAGGTTACCTAGGAAAGAAATCTTTCGAAATCGTCTAAAGTACTCAATGTTACGTGAAGACGAAAGGTAGCAAAAGCCGATGCGAAAACCCCCAACTCAGATGAATCTGGTGAAGCTGAAAGTTAGAGAGTGACCCTTCCAGTTTCTTATTAGGAATCAACGAAGAAAACAAGTCCAATTTTATATCATTATCAAACGTAAGCACTCTTTCTTTTCCTTTCTGTATACCCAGTTTCATATATTTCTTCTTCATTTCAGATTTCCTTTTCTGGGAATTGTTTTATCAGCTCTTGAAATTATTATTATCCAAAAAAAAGTAAGAAAGAAGTATGCTTTAGGGGTGAAGCATCAGTTGAAGTAGTTGAGCTGTGTTATCTTCTCCAAATCATGGTGTAATCCTTTTGAAACCAATACCTAGCTTAAACTGTTGTTGTATTGCTGGTTAGGTTAGGTGTGCAATGGATTGGGCATTTGTGCAAAAATCTTGGGAGAAATGGGCTTCCACCAATATTGGATCTTCTGGTGAGTGGTAACCTATCTCACCTTTTTACCATTTAATATGATTCTGGGGATTTTCATTGCATTGTAATTTATGATGTGTAAATACAAATCTTGCTTGAACCAAAATTGCAGGTCAGCCATTGAAGGCTGCTTTGCTGATTAACTATGACCCACTCAGACCTTCTCGGCTGTTGTGTACTATGTAAGATACATTTCAACTCTTCAATCTGAAGTTCTAGATTCATCTTTGGCAGCTCATGTTTTTTGTGTTGCTTTAATTTAATTTTAGGATTCACTGGTTCTGTCTTCTCATCCTCCATGTGCCTGAGTCATAATTCAGTAATTGTGTTAATTCCTTTTTTCCCCCATAATCTTTGTATTCAAAACACGATGGTGGTTTCCATTGTTGCTTTATGTTTTTTTCATAGCTTGTCATATTAATTATTTAGACACCAAATAAAGTTAGTTTTGTCTATCATTGTGTCAAAAGTTGTTTGGCGTTACTTCTTGGTTATCGTAATGCTAAATTGCATTTTGAAGTTATTTCATTGTTTATATGTGGCTGGTAGATTTGCTCAGATTCTTGGTTTGTTTTCTAAACATTCTCAATCAAAGAAACGCACATACATATGGTTTAATATGTCGGAAGTAACATGCTTCATGCTACTATTTTCATCAATTCCCAAGATATTTTTTTTTTGGTTTGGAAAACTGGAAATGAAGCTTTGCTTGACAGTGCAGAACAGGAAGGAATGAAAATCAGCCCAATTGGATTGAGTCAATTGATCAGTTTCATCAAGCGCAACCAACTTCAAAAAGAGACCTTTGTGATCGGGAATAACCAATGTAAATTTTGCTTTAACTAACCTTTCTTTAATTTATGAACTTTTTTGAATTTGTAGAAGTTTTAATGTGAACTTAATCTCTCCTTTCTAAAGTTGTTGCTTGCTTCTATTATTTTTCTGTGTTTCATGAATAGCCAACCTTTGAATAGGTAATTGATTTCTTTTAGGTTTTTTAACATCTCAAATTTGCTTTTTGTTCCATATGAGCAGAATCTAGTCCCCGGATACTATACTCTAAAAAAGTTCGTGGATTACTCATTCAAGATTTAGCATCTAAAGGAAACAAAACAGAATAACCTGATAAGAGTAATTAAATTTTTAATTAGCATGCTGAACCAATGATTTGGCTTGTGATGTTGGAAATGTCTATTGGCAAATTAGTTTATATTTTTAGACATTTTACCAATAAATGTAGTGTCTGGTTTTATTTAGATAATGTCTGATTTCAATATTAAAGTTTTGGAGCGGATAAATGAATGACAGACATGGTTACATCAATCCATGAAAATTGGTTCTTTGCGAGGTGCCTGAATGCATCAAAATCCTCTGGTGAAGGTGCAATTGTCATGCAGACATCAGGGCTTCTCTTGGTTGCGCTGTAAGTTTATTCATCTTCAGATGTTATGAACAACATGACTGAACTGAAATTTCACTTGTTATGCCTGATTTGCTTTGCATGATATGATAGCACTTGAGCACATATACACTCGTGCATAGATATAGTTTCTTAACATAACTGAACTGAAACTTCACTTGTTATGCCATCTGCTTTTGTCAGGTACGATGGGTCAATTGGCTTAGCATCTCGTGCCATGGTATCTGTTGATCAACTTGTTTGGTCGTTGAATCGAAGGAACCTTTAACCTCAGCCTCCATATCAAAAGAATAATTCTAAGTTACCTTGCAGGCAAGTTGTAGAGATCATTATTAAGACTCCAGTCTGCCTATCTGCAACATATGATCATTTAACTGGTGAATGAGTACGACAGAGGCTCGGAGTTGCGTGAAATTAATAGGTTGGAATGGGATGTAATGTGGTCGTGAATAATGCTCTATATGTCCAAAATATTAACCATTGGTGTAACCATTTACCAAGTAATTTTTTTCCCTGGGCACATTGTTTTCTGAATGCTTGCTACATTCATTAATCAGAGCCTGGTTTTGTGTTTTATATGCGTGGAATTGAGGAGCATCCAACCAGCTGCTGCTAATTTGATCCATGATTTGGCATATAAAGCCTTTAGTAAGTAAATGATTCTATGCTTTCGTACCACTGTTTTAATCTGTTGAAACCGTGGTATTAACCTTCCGAAAAAGAAAGTAAATGATTATCTCGAGGATACAATTAACTAATTAATTAATTAATTAATAAAGCTTAATAATCATTTACAAAAGCAGAATTATAACCATAATAATCCTTTTAACGTATCAGGGAGACATTCCTACGCTGCTACATGTATCTTTACCAATACAGCAGACTTGACGACTCCTACTTGTACTCGGTGTTGCATGTACACTTACATTACTGTTCGACTCCCTGTCTGTATCGGATTCGCAATAGTTCCCTTCTACTCTCTTCTTTGCATCATTAATAGAGTGTATTGGATTCCCCACTTTTACTACTGGAAAGCACCATGATGCAACACTCGAATCGGGGTTACACAAACTATCTTCTTGCAGAATTTCTCCCATCCGGGTCATTATGCTGAATGCCAAGTTTTTCAAGACACGAGAATACGCTTCCAGAATCAAATGTCCAACATCCTGTGCACCCATGATTTTAACATGAATTCAGTAGTGAAAGATGAATATGCATGACAAAACACGCTATCGCAAGTACGTGTAGTACATTTTACGTTAGACAACGAAACTTACCTTGCCATACTGAATTTTTGTGGCATCAAGAAAAGTTTGAGGAAGGTTAGGATATGCACTCTTTATGTGATGTGAAAGTGTGTCAGCTCGGTCCACTAGTTGCTCCATCTTATCTATTTCAGACAATGGATCCTTGATGAAAGACCATGATTTCCGCACTGGGGATTTGCCGCTAGCTTGTTCTGTAAGTCTCCCTTTCCATGAAAATACAGCAGCTTCCAACCTATTAATGGCTTCGAGAGCATTATTTTCGGACTTTATATTGAGCGAAACAAACATTTCCTCAACTGAGCTGGACTCGAGAGTCAAAACCTTGTACAGTTCATCGCCGAGGCTTTCCTTCCCAGACTGTAAACATGTGGAATGAGATTGAGTTGCCATAAATGCAATACAAAAACCATGTAAAACTTCAATACGGAGCTCTCTTCATCCAAAATTATCAGATATTTGATAAGATTTAAAGTATACCAACGTCAGCTGGTTCCAGCTAAAACCTCAAGGTTCCAATTTTTTTTATATTTCCTTTTAAAACATGTTTTTCAAAACTGATCTTGATTATGTAATCAGGCTTCAAGTTATGATATATCATCATAAAAAACTATTAAAGGATCGAACATTTAAAGTTAAGAATGCCCTTAAGGCAGTGAGTATGCTCACATTGGGAAGGGCATGCCTAATAATGGATGGAATAGGCATTTCAAGCAAAACATTTTCATTAATTGATGTTGCAGCCTTGAATACTTGATAAACCACCTTGCCTTTACATTGCAACTTCTTCCTTTCGGTATCTGAGAGCCCAGTTTCTGGTACTTGTGGCAATGGAAGCCACCACCTCTTGCTCTCCCCTGCCCTCTTGTTTCTTCCTTCTGCTTTGCTTTCAACTTCTGCATAATAAAACTCAGTATTCACCATCGACTCCAGGGTTTCCTGATGATATTCAAAATTTGATCAGGTAAATGAGGGTGACATGTTCATAAAAGAATATACAAACTATTAGGACAAGTAAAGAGATCACCTACAATAAGCATAGAGTCCAACTTTTGAAGTGCTGGTAGATTCATGTGAATGTCTGCACGGGCTTTTGGTGTCATTATCTGCTTAAAAGAGAATTTACATAAATCGCAACACATTGCAGAATGCACATTGTCATTTTAATCGGAACTCAAAACAACCACAAGAGTACCTCCATAGTCCTGCCATTTGCACCATTTTGCTTAGCAGGCACTAACTCCACCATATAGTTGGTAGGAGAGAGTAACCAGCCCATTTCCCTTCGCCATTTATTTTTCCTTTCTTCAGCTAGCGGCTCCAGTTTCCACAGCTCCCCAAAAACTGAAGCTGCACATTGAAATTTGCATACCTTATAAGTTGAAGACTAATGAAAGAAGACAATCCTATGATAACAGGAACACGCAATGAACTTTGTAAAATGTACATGCTACTTTTTATGGGTTTTAAGTTGCAGCTCCTCCTCATGATGCATGTTTCCCATTGATGGGAGACAAAATAAATACACTACAAAATGAAATGCTATCACTTTTCTTGTTTAAACATGTTTTACCAAGTTCCAAGGATCTAGAAACAAACTCACCAGCAAGATTTGTTATGGCATTCGACAAAGCTAAAGCTGTGGAGACGCCCTTCCGTCCGCCTGTAATATCTTCCCCCAGTAGAAGCTTTGCAAAATTTTCTTTCATTGTCTCAACATCTGAAAATTGAAAGGGATAAGCAGGTTTCTCTTTGACATAAAAATGCTTGGGGCTTTTTGAGAGCTCCAATTCATCCGAACCCTGTTCATCTCTCTTCATCCACTTGGAAGAAAATGATCCAAATGCATCTTTGCTAGAAGAACAGCTGGAGAAATCATCCTCCAGGGAATCAGATGCACATCCATCTCCTTGGCTTGTTCTACTTTCGTTCTCGTAAGACTGATTGTTGAGAATGCAGCTCTCGAGACCTTTATAGGTCATTATCCCTGAAAATTCTGAATTTAATATCCATTTACTGAAATCAAGTGTGAACATACGACAACAAATAGAAGCATAAACAGCTAGAGACCTTGGCAAAATGGTTTACATGTGGTCGTTAGCTTAAGGGTTGTCAAAAGTAAACATAGATGAGCTCAAGTTACTGGTGTATGTACTATGTAGTGCTAACTACATAAACACTAAGTGTGGAAATATACGCCTGTTCGATTTGTTTGACAGTCTAGTTGTAATTAAATGTAACCATTTTATCAAATGAATACTGTAGCACTGCTCACAGAAGAACTCGGATAATTTTCTTTGTTTCAAGGGATGAGAATGTGAAAATCGATTAAACATATAAAAAATATCATGGGAGAAACTAACTTATCAGTCCATTTAAATCGTACAATTATATTAATTGGAACATTCAATCACCGGTAACAGTTAAAAGGGCACTTTCTACACTAATGATCCTTGCAAGAACTAGTGACGTAAATTATTTCACACACTTGTAATTCTGCATTCTCATTTACCAATTAGTGGATCAGGTAACAGATTGGTTAAATGCAATTTCTGTTCATATTTAACTGGAAAAGATCTGGAAACCTGATCTATCCGGGCACATATGAACCTTTTCATTTTGGAAAAAATGAGTCCGTCAAATTTGTCTTCATTATAAAAATGTCAGATGTTAGCACATGCATACGCACATGGCAGTTCAAGGGTCCAATTTTAGCATATGTGAGATTGTTTGATAAGATGACTTATTTATTCAATAAACACTGCATAAATAATTAGCTTTGCTGTGTGCATAACTTCAACTACCCATCTATTCTCTGATGACTCATGCATGGTAAATAAAGGGACTGGTCGTACATGTCATAGATGCTCCCAAAAGACAAACAAGACATGGAAACCCACATGGCATGCTTTTGAAAACCCCATTTTTGTTTAGCAATTTGAGGTTTTTTTAACAACGTGTGTTTCTCAAATCAATCATGTGAGAACAAACAGTAATAATAACAGCGTCCTTGCCAATTGGCACTACAATAAATGATAAAGTTTACCATTAAAAAATAGAAGACAAGAGATTACATCAAGGCAGAAGCTTCCCAAGTTTTAGAGAGCTAGCACTAAATCCAAAAAGAGAAATTTCCAAGTAACAAGTGCTCGAAAGCAAAGCACACTCCAAAAAGGACATGCACTACTTATAACTTGAAGTCACAATGGCCCAAAGTTAAAAAGGGAGGCATAAGGTTTAAACAGGATAATTTTATATATGTTCCTTTTAACGACATTTCTTTTCTAGTCACAGGATGGATCTACTTTTTATGCAACAGGAGACAGACTTATGATTTTATGTAAAGAGAGCGAATTTATAAAATTATAGGGGGGAAAAACAGATTATCAATAAAAAATATAGAGAAAATATCTAAAATACATGATAATTTACGCTCCCTTCAGTCCATCCATGCGTTGGAGGGTATACTTCTTCCTGCACTTACTTGCAGCACTGCAATGGAAATACGAGATCATTTATTCTTCACTGCCCATTGGCTGTTTCTTTAAGGGATTCTATAATGCTTCTTAATGGGTTGAGAAGAACTACATCGTCTTGGGATGAAATGGTAACATGGGCAAGTGGTGTTTGAAAAGGTAAATCTCTTCTCACAACTATTTTGAAGCTTACTTGGTGCGCTTTTATTTATACCTTGTGGGAGGAAAGGAATCGAAGAATGTTCCAAGGTTGTTCCCGAGCAACTAAAGATCTTCTTAATATTATTAAGATATCGTAGGAATACATTAAAAGGAAAAAATATCAATAGACTATAAACTGTTAATTTTACTCTTTGTAATTCATGGGCATTACCAGAAGAGGCTCTAACATAAGGCGTGGGCACGGTTTATTCATCTCGAGCTAACACAGAAGAAGTCTTCAGTTAAGGCGTGGGCACGTCTTATCCATCCTGAGCTACCACAGAAAAAGTCTCCAGTTAAGGCGTGGGCACGCCAAGGCGTGGGCACGCCATCTATCGGCTCAGTTCGGTTTTTATCGGTTTCGATTTTTTCCGATAATCGTTTTTTGGATTATTTTCAGTTATTTTATTAGATCAAATTGGATCTGATCACATTTATTTGATTTGTACCACACTCTGCTTCTTTGGGTAATAAAATTTTAATTTATCCAAAAACAAAAATAGTAGCAGTTGGGAGGCTAACCTAAAGCTAAAGGGTAGGGTAATCAAGGCATCAATAATTACTAGCATTTCAAACTTTTTCAGATGAAAGAAAAGTCTTCTTTCACATGAGTTTTTTTAATTTATGTCCCTA